AAACTATATCCAAACATTTGGACAGACACCTTTGTTTAAATTTTTTTCCCTCTCCAGGCATATTTTCACCCATAGTGCAGTAAATCTATTGTAAACCTATGGATTTATTCAACATGCTTGAAATTTACTGCCAAAAAGGGCCTGTAGTTTTATAACTCTGACCTTCACCGAGATGTTAGAAGCACAACTGGAGCAGAGCCTATCAAGATGTATGAGATAAACCTGGTTCTCCCCAATATATAATACAGGCTTCTAGGGACCCAGTCTTTCTTCCCCGCTATGGGACCCCCCCAGACACATTTTGACAATCTAGCAAGAATTCCCCAAATTTCCAGGCAGAAGCCGTCAGGCTGGGAAAGACTGCTAGAAAGAATGCAAAATATTGTTTGCGTAAGATTTAATGCCTTCAATTATCTTTTCACAGACAGAGTGATGAGAAAGAGGACTTCTATCAATACAACTTAGTGTATGAAAACTGGTCCTCTTTGGATCTAACCTTTCCCTGCCGTTTCAAATTCCAGGAACAAAAATTAAATCCACATCTAAGAAGCAAACCAAATGATTTGTAGAACGGTCTTACGATACATACTGGTTGATGACCCAATAAAGTTATTTCGTATCAAATAGATTGCTATTATTCTTATAGCGACTGCTCAACGTATTTAACATACTTTGCTATCAAAGAGCTCTCAAGTCACTACAAAATGGATCACAGATACTTTTTTGAATAATAAAGTGTACCTTAAAAAATAAAATAAAAGACTTTTGGCACTAACTGATGGTGTTTGTTACACTACAATGAATTTGGTACGTTCACTTTCCGAGAACTCATGATACAAGAAGAGAAAAATGTATCTTGCTATTGCTGAACATTATATGTCCACAATTTTAGGAATTTTTTAAAAAATATACCTGGCGGGTCCATAAAATCGAAGTGAACTAAATCGTCTATACCAAGTTTCTTCAGCTGTAATACCACAGAACCCAAGTTCGACCTCAAAATCTCAGGATAGGTGTTGTCCTGAAAACAAATAGTTTATATATTTTAATTCAGCTTCTTTTTTTCGATTAAAAAACACAGGGCTAATAGAAAGCGGCTAACCCAAATGGAATTTTAAAAGCTCGTTTCACGTTTAATGGTAGCTATTTACTGAAAACGGCTAGCTTGCTTGATAACAGTGGCATCCATTTTAATGCAAATATATTTATATCTACAATTGTTAAAAGAGTCGTGAAATTTTGAACTGAGAAACGAGTACAATAATAATTTTAAAAAAACGGTGTGTGTGTGTGTGTGTGTGTGTTAAAAGCAAATAAATCTTTTTGATACCAGAGAAGCAAACATGGTGCCTAAATAAGAATATTACAATCCAGAAAAATAAACTGCGCGCTCATTGACTGGGTCACGTTGTTTCCAAGCCCAGAAGATAAATTATTATGGCTTGCGATAAAAATATATATTTCCAAGGATCCAAATTCCGCGCAACCATCGCTTCCGATCGAAAGCTAATGAGCTGCAACTTTACCAACCTGCATCTCGGTTTTGTACGCTTTTTCTGTGTAGAGCCGGAAACATTTGCCGGGCCGAGTACGACCGGCACGGCCAGCCCTCTGTTGAGCGGAAGCTTTGCTAATCGCGGTAACCAACAGAGATTCCACCCTGATTCGCGGATTGTAGACCTGTTGGGTAGAAGAGTCACAGTTTTCAATAAAATAAAATAAAATAAAATGTTCACACGGTATTTAATGGATGGAAACTAACCAAGGAGAGAAGCAACCTAGAACGAAGGAGGAATTTCCTGACAGTGAAAACAATTGATCAGTGGAACAACCTGCCTCCAGAAATGGTGAATGCTCCAACACTGGAGGTTTTTAAGAAGAGACTGGACAGCCATTTGTCCGAAATGGTATAGGGTTTGTTGCCTGAGCAGGGGGTTGGACTAGATGACCTCCAAGGTCCCTTCCAACTACTACTACTACTACTACTACTACTACTTCTTCTTCTTCTTCTTCTTCTTCTTCTTCTTCTTCTTCTTCTTCTTCTTCTTCTTCTTCTTCTTCTTCTTCTTCTTCTTCTTCTTCCTTCTTCTTCTTCTTCTTCATTATTATTATTATTATTAATATTATTATTATTATTATTATTATTATTATTAATTATTATTATTATTATTATTATTATTATTATTATTATTATTATTATTATTATTATTATTATTATGGATCATCGCACAGTCAGCCAGATGTTCAGACTGGATTTGGCATTTTGTCTACCTATCGAGTCCTTTCCCAGGACCTGGGATAGGCAGATGTGGATGTTTGATGGTGGTATTATTATTATTATTATTATTATTATTATTATTATTATTATTATTATTATTATTATATTAAAATGTTCACACAGCATTTTTCCCCTCTCTAAAAATCTTCAGCCTCGTCTTTAAAAAAAAAAGGCCTCTTATTTTATTAGTCTGTTGACCTTTTATTGACTGATCTTCTCCTCTTTAATATAACACCATTTTTTAAAAAGAGTTAAGCTACAGCTTGTGGAGTGTTAATTTTTCCCCCCTCCAAAGTCAGAGAGAAAACTCTAGATTGAAAGTGGGGATCTGAATTCAGATACTCCCCCCTCCCCTTCAGCTCATTCTTGGTGGTGGGATCCTAGGAACAGACCAACTCGGTCACTGTCCACCATCTAATTTCTGATGGACCCATCTGAAGTGCTCCCAAGCGGAAGATGGAAACTCTATTTGAAAGACTGACATCTGAAGGCACGCTGCTATTATTCCAGAAGCTTTTCCCTAATATGGAGAAGAGGTAAAGGAGATAATAGGGCTGCCTAAATGTGTTTTTTCTTCTTCTTCAATTGTGAGCAAAATATATTCCCCATGGTCAGGCTGATTGACATATTCTGATGGACGGATATCCCAGTGTTTATTTAGGACTATTTATCCATTCCCCATCCTATGTATTTAGGGACCTGTACACTTTATGTGAAATTATTTCTCCTGTACGCTCAATCCCTTAGAAATGTTGTTAAAGAGGTCAGGAATCGTTAGCAGATAAACCCTGCCAGCCAATAAGCTGCCTAAATTAACGTTCAGCCTTAAAATTCATCCTCTTTCCATAAACAGAATCTGGAGACGCAGCTGATGATGGTAATTTTAAGGAAAGCTGAACAAAGGAGCCCATTGGAGTAGAATTTCGGTAATTCAAAAAGCCTTGAAAAGCTTATTTCAGGAATCAAGCTTGAAATGTGAAGACGGCGGAAGAAATCTGCTTCAGAAATTAAGGTTTAAGATGTCATGAAATAAAACCACATCTAAGTACATTGGAAGATTTGAAGCAGGGTGTCCTCGGGAGAGCAGAAAAACCCAGATTTATTCTGGCTTTAATCTGAATGCATGCGTGGTTGGGTTGGGGCTTGGCTACAGCAAAGGCCTCGACGGAACGTGTGGGTGGTGCCAAATAAATTGTATTTGAATCCTAGGCAGATAGAAACTTTATATATGGGTGGTGGCTGCCCTATTTATCTGTCGTGTGAAGGAACAGCAGGCAACCTGGAGGTGCCGACAGAGTTATACTGAACATCAAAAGCCAAAAGCCATCACAGGAAAGAACTTTAACCACCATTAATCCGCCTGTCAGTTAAGACTATGGAGGCTTCCTGGCTGTGTCACGTCCCGGGGATGATCACAATTTCTGCTGTGGCATCTCCTGCTTGGAAAACCATCTCTCTAGAGATTAAGCCTCCACTAACAATTTAAGTCCACGCTAAAAATCTTTTTTTAAAAAAACTTGTAAGCGTTTAATTCACGACAGTTCTGCACTGGTACCCCTGGACATTGCTGTCCACATATTCTGTGCCCGGTATTCCCCGTTATATTGAATGTATTTTAACGCCGCATATTTAATCGACGGAGTTTTTATATACATTTGTGAAGTAAACAACTTGTTCCTTCCGTGAATCCAAATAATAAATCCAGTAATCAACAATACAAACAGAATGGAAAATCTACATCAGTTTCATACTAAAGGGGATCGGTCAGGCGGGAGTTGTGTGTGTGTTATGCATGTGGGTGTACATATATGTTTGTGTGTGTGTGTTATATATATATGTATATATATATATATATATATATATATATATATATATATATATATATATATATATATATATATATGTGTGTGTGTGTGTGTGTATATGTATATATGTGTGTATGTACATGTTTGTGTTTGTGTGCACCTGTGTGCGTGTATGTGTATATATATATGTATATATGTGTATATGTGTATGCGTATATATGTGTGTGTATATATGTGTGTATGTGTGTATATATGTCTGTGTGTATATGTACAAATATGTGTATAGTGTTTGTGTGTATATATGTGTGTGCGTGTGTGTATGTTTGTTTATGTATATATAAATATGTATGTGTTTGTATGTGTGTATATATGTATATGTATGTGTGTATATGTGTGCATATATGTATAAATATGTGTGTGTGTGTGTGTGTTTATATATATATATAAAAGAACTTTATTTACCTTTTGTTTCGCAAAGCCAGGATCAATGACGAAAACAACACCGTCTATTGTCAATGATGTCTCAGCAATATTAGTTGATACGACCACCTGTCGAAAAAATACACGAGGGTTTTCTGCTGCCCGCATTGCAGAGACGTTAAATGTTGGGGGCACATAAAAAATGGACTTATGGAAGCCAGGTGCAACTTCCAGCCAGAGGGGGGTCCGTCAGACCAGGCAGAAAAACGGTGGAGTAACTGAAGAGCAGATTAAAGGGGAAAACTTGCAACGCGCAGTTGTCTCGTATTGGCCGGGTGCTCCTACGCTGATCGTACCACAATCGTGCCCCTTTCAAAATACTTCACATTTCTACTTAGAACTCAGGACTCTGTGAAATGCAGGACTGTCACTTAGGTCAAACAATCCCATTCCAGGCCAGTTGCACCTTAGAAGTATTTTTTTAAAAAATAAATGTTTTATTAATCTTCTATTTTCACAATCAAGGGCCCATCAGACCACGTGATGACGGAGTCCATTAGTGATTCCGTGCTACACGTGAGCTTCTTCAGACTAAGTCCGATGTCACACCCTCCAGTACATCCACTTTTCTTCTAGCAATAACCATTTTTCCACACAAAGCAAATACAATTCTTAACTGTTGTTAGTAAATATACAATTGCGTATCAACATTTGTTACATTTTTCTCAAAGTGTCAATAATATCAGTTTAGAATATCTTTTCTAACCAAAACATATCTTAGTTGCATTGGCACTCAGTGTCCATATCCTATTTTTGCTTTTTTTTTTTTTTTCATTTTAATTCCCCATCCGCGTTCAAAATATCCCAATGATTTATAATTTCAGAACAAGTTACATTTGGGGAACCAAAAGCTTCTCTTAGTCCAAGTTCTTAGCATATCCTTATTTCCCTTTTCATGCCCAGATACGATATTCTGATTACAAATCCTATCTATCTAGTTATAATAATACTATTAGAAGTATTTTTAAGGTTGCCCCAGGAGACCTGCATTTCAAAAACAACTGTGAAAAATTGCAGGCCAGGTGTGGCTGATGGGAAAATCCTCTTCTCTGTTCACTTGCCTTACAATGTATAATAGTGGCCAAAATTGTGGAAACCTTTTGGGAAAAGTGTACCGTAGAAATGCCCCCTTTGGTTACGTTTCCACCCATTTTTCCTTCTAATTTCTTTATAATTGTAGCCTTGTTCATTTAATACTACTACTTTACATCGCTTTCTGGGTAACCAGTCAACTCTTTGCACCATGACTTTAATTTTATGACATTTTACAAGCTCACTCAATGAAAGAACACCAAAAAACCCAACCGACTTGATAGCGATCACAATAACACACTGACAAATGTCCTCCTCTCAGTTTCAATACAGGACATCAATCACTGGATCCTACTGTGATCTGATTGGCTCATGGCCAGAACAAGATGACACCCGATTGGCTCTCTAAACACTCATGCTCATTGGCTACAATCAGGTGAAGGAAAGCTACCTGAGATCAACCTAAGCAAGTTGTGCTTCCTTTTTCTGGTTATTTGGCTGTAACTTTTCATAGAATGTAGTACAGATCATTGAACAAACTTTGTTGCATGACATTCTTGATTAAATTATCTTTCCATTGATATATAATTTTATGGTACTACTCCCCAAAAAAGTGGTGTTATTAGCCATCAAACCTCAAAAATACACTTTTCCCAAAAGGTTTCCACAATTTTGGCCACTACTGTAAAGACTTTGGGCTTGTAAGACACACGTGGGCTCCCGATGCCGTTAACTGGTATGGAATTAAAATTATTCACTCCTCCTAAACGAAGATACACAAGTTAGGCTTCCTTCCAATCTAACCTACCCAATTCCCCATAAGGGAGATCTGCAAAACACCTTATAATTTTATACACTGCAAAACAGTCCAGTACAAACTTGGATTGTGCACCAAGCACAATTATATTTGATGGAAAGGATGCCTAACTTTGCAGTATTGAGAAAAATAGCTTTTTTTTTGGAGGGGGGTGTTATTTTCTTCCTATTACTGTAGAAATAAGCTATGTGGATTAGGCAGATCCATCAGGGCTGTGTGTGTGTCAGCTACTGATATTCTGCAAGGACCTGCTAAGTATTTGCAACTACCCAAAAAAGAGAGAGTTTTTTTTCATGTTTTCCAGAAAAGGAACCGGGCATTCAGGATTCATCTATTATTGCATTACAAAACCTCCAATGTTTGTATGCTTGGACCAAACTTAGCAAACAAAGCCAGTGTTCTTAATTTGAGGGAGGGGGAAAAAATGGAAAACGACCATGAGTTCGTAACAGGATAACCGTAACTTACTACTGCCCTAGCTTGGTCAACTTGAAATATGCGTCCAGCCGTCTATTTACGTCACAGAGGCTTATTCCCCCCAATGCAAAAG